ATAATATTGAGCTTCCTTGTTTTAACTGAGTATAACCATTTCTATTTCCTTAGTTTAGGTTCTTAGATGTAGAAACTTTTAGTTAAGACATATATGTGGTGTGTGTGTGTGTGTGTGTGTGTGTCACTATGCAAAGCCAAATCAGTTTCCAGAAAGAATATACCTGATCATAGATCTGGCAGCCTCTAATTTCTTTTCCTGTAACTTAGAGTAAGTCTCACTGACACTCAGAGTTCTTTCTGGCTCCTCTCTAGAAGTGTTCAGTTCTGTGTTGAAACTGTGTGGCATCTCCCTGCTCATCACTGATACCCAGCTGTCCAAAGCCTGTGCTTTCCATTGCTGGACTGAGAAGACTTCAGCAGTGGAATCTCAGTACCCTGGACTGGCTGGCCAGTGGGGTTTGGAAATGCACTTTTGCACATAGGCTCAAACAGTACACATGTGTTTTAATGACCTCGAGTAGGGGTTTCCTCTAAATGTCCCTGGATGTTCCTCTGTGGCTCTCTTCTACTTGCTTCTCTTTGGTTCTAGAGTTGGCTCTGGATAGTCACACATTATAATCTGCCATTGAGATGATATATGCTTTCGCTGCAACACCCAAGCGTGCCCCACTTCCAGGGCATTGCCCCATTTCTGCTTCCTATTACACTTCTTAGATACTTAGTCCTTAGCCTTACAAAGCTCCAGTCTGCCCTATCCCTGGTCTTTGCAAGAGGCCACTGACATGATCCCTTTTTACTTCTCTTCTGAGTTAGCTCTGACTTTGATACCTATGAGATGTGGCTATACTGACTATACCTTTGCCATTTGTCCTTTGAATTGCCGCTTCTGCCCCTGCTTTGAAACTGACTTGGATAGCTTCTTCCCACTTTAGCCCAGAGTCTGTTCCCAGCATACCCTGCCCTATGCACTACGAGTCTGCTGAGAAACTGACACTTCAAGGTTTTGCTTCAGGATATTAGGGAGTGTGCTAAATGTGCATAGAGGGACTGTGGCAGTTTGCCAGTTTCATCTTAATAAACCCCATTTCACTCCCCCAGACATACTTTCTCTGCCCTACTTCCATTTCGTCCTTCCTGCTTTCCATTAGTTTAAACTCCATTTCTGGCATCTTGATAGACCTGCCCTCTGGCCTCTGGCCCACCATGACATCCCAGCTCAACACTTGGCTTTCCTGCTGCCTTGGCATTTCTGGCTTGGCCTGGCTTTCCTATGAGCTGTATCCATAGTCTGCCTGGTAGGCATGACTAGCATTCCTGAAAGCTCTGCTCCCTCCTGGGATCTGGCTTTCCTCTAAAAGATGTATGGATAGGTTGTTTTAAGTTGAGCGAGTTCTCTTTTCTCCTACAAAGGTAGGACATGTCTTGCAAAAGAATGCAGAAAATGGGAAATTCTTAGATCTGAAGATATTTTCAGAAGTAAGCCTTCAGTGACCACCTAAAATGCTCTCCATTCCAATGAGCTTTTCAGTCAACTGTCTCACCCCACTCCTGACTTTCTTCAAGAGCAGGTGAGGAGATGTCTCTTGGTTAATGGAAATCAAGTCCAAAAATCTCATCTCACTGAAGATAAAGTGGGAAGGAGTTCCCGAGGCAGGGTCAAAGCTGGGGTAATTCAAAGAAGAAATGGCAAAGGGGAGCAGAAAGTTGTCAAACTGCCTTTTAAATATTTATATTTATAACCACAGACCGGTGCTTCTCTCAAGCTTGGTCAGCTAAACTTCCTTTTATAGCGGGCAGCAGTTAAGGTAGAGATACATAACTGGTCAAAGTGCTGAGAATAAATGACTGGGAGGGTCTGGCCTTAAACGGAACATCTCTCTCAACCTCTTCACTTTCCATCCGTGCCAAGGCTCTGGGAACACTGAGGAAGAAGGCGCAGAAAAAAAAGTGTGTACCATTTGAAAGAATGCTGTGAAATGCTTTTGTCTTCTCTCCCCCCCCCCCCAACTTTCTCTCTGTCTCTTTTCATTTTTCCAGACAAGGTTTCTCTCTGTGTGGTCCTGGCTGTCCTGTAATCTCATTCTGTAGACTAGGCTGGCCTCAGACTCACAGACATCCACCTGCCTCTGCCTACTGAGTGCTGGGATTAAAGGCACGTGCCACCTCACCCTGCTGCTGTTTTCTTTGTATGACATAGCTATTGCATGCATGAACTCACAGCGAAAGGCCTACACGAGATCAAGCCAGCGAAACCGTGTCTTCCTACTCCTAACGGAGAAACTACTGACACTTGATGGTTGTGAGGGGGTGTGTGGCTGCTGGCTAGTTGTTTATGCTCCAGCGGTTGGCCACACATCCATGCACATACGGGCAGCACTGCTTGGACACTAGCTGCTTACTTTTTAAAAAGAATAAGAGGACATAAGGCTAGGAGGAGAACGTGTTGGAGTGTCTTAGTTAGGGTTACTATTGCTGTGATGAAACACCATGATGAAAAGCAACTCGGAAGTAACAGATTTGTTTCTTTTACACTTCTAGGTAACCAATCCATTGCTGAGGGAAGTCAGAAAAAAAAAAAAAAACCTCAAGCAGGGCATGAGCCTGGAGGCAGAGGCTCACATAGAAGCCATAGAGAGGTGCTGATTCCTGGCTTGCTCCTTATAGCTTTCTAGGCCTGCTTTCTTATAGAACCCAGAAGTATCAGCCCAGGGGTGGCCCCACCCACAATGGGTTGGGCCCTCACCCATCAATCACTGGTTAAGAAAATTACCTAGAAACTTGGCTACAGTCTGGTCTTATGGAGGTAATTCTCAACTGATGTTCCCTCCTCTCTCATGACTATAACTTGTGTCAAGTTGACATAAAACTAGGCAGCACAGAAGAGGACTCAGAAAGAAATGGAGGGTGGATATCTTCATATTTTATTATATACAAGCATTACCTGTTTTACAAAACTAAAATAAAATGAATAGAAAGAGGGGTTGGAGAGATGGTTTGACAATTAAGAGTACTGGCTGTTCTTCCAGTGCACCAGGGTTCAATTTCTATCACCCACATGACAGCTAACACCTGTCTACAACTCCAGTCCCAAAGGATCTGCTGCCTTTTTCTGGCCTCTGTTGGTACCAGTCATGTACATGGTACACACTTTCACATGCAGACAAAACACTCATACACATAAAATGAATACATAAAATTTTCAAAAATAAATAAATTGAAAGGAAAGTCAATACTACAAAACTCATCCTATGAAGCCACCATTACCGTAATACCAAGACAGATAGACACAAGACTAAGGGAAAACTATAAACTAGCTTTCCTATTGAACATAAATGCAAAATTTCTCACTAAAATTTTTACAAGCCAAATTCAAGAATACATTGAGATGACACACCATGTTCATGTTGGCTTCATTCTAATTATCCAAGGATGTTTCAACATCTACAAATCAGGAAGTGTAATACAGCATATAGACTGAAGGACAGAAATCACAAGTTGATCTCAGCAGATGTGGAAATACCCTTTAACAAAGTTCAACATCCCTCCATGATAAAAGCTCTAAACAAAGTAGTTACAGAAGACATATCGCAACATAATAATGGTTACATACCACAAATATGTAAGAGAGCTTTGGATGGGATTTTGAGTTTCCCTTCTGTTAGAGGGACTCGCTTTGCATATTGAGCTCACTGTACTAACCTGAGTACTAACATGATCGCCTTTGCCACTCTTTTTATCTTCAACTCTAGTCTTCTCCTTCTAAATCCTCTTTAGTGTTATGGACTTTGCCTCTTTTCATCTATTCCCTGAGAGGACCACAGAGTATGGAGTACAAGAAAGAGGTAGAGAGAGCCAATTTATTCCCATAACTCTGATTCAAAAGAACCCTGGAGGCAGGGTGCTTGCTAGCCCATCATAGTACCTTCACAGTAACTTACCTCTTCCCAAAGCACACTTTCTGGTGTCTCAACTCCCACATACTCCTGTAAATCAGCTATGGCAACCAATCATTATCTCCTGGAGGGAGCACACTCACTGACAGCCTTTAAGCTTTACAACTTTGAGAATCATGCTGATGAGGAAACCCAGGACTCATGGTGGTAACATGAGTTGCCTGAGTCACATGAGTTAATGCTAGGGCCAAGGTAAGAGCTCAGATGGACCTTCCCTCAGTCCAAAGATTTTTCCAATATGCTGTCATGCCTTCCTCAGATTTTGCTCATCTTTGGCTTATGCAACACTATCTCTTGAGTCAAAATTACTCCCATAGCTGAGGAGCAGACAAGTCGTTGTTTCATTAGCATTTTCCCTTTTGGCTTTATACAAGAAAGCTTAAAAATAATGAAGCCTATTAAAGAACAGAGCCACCATGGGCTCATCTTATGCCCTCAAGACTTGTGCTAGTAAACCAGCATCCCAGAAATCCCCTATTGAGGCATTCTCAGTTGAGGTGCATCTGCAATTTGATAGTGAAAGTGTAAAATCCAGTGTGAAGCTCCAGAGATTCAGAATGGCAATTCTAACTGAAGCTCATTGAGATATATAGACTCTGGGTCTGGTTAGTTTCAGTGTGTGATGTTTTTTATTTGGTATGATGGTCTGAATAGAAATAGTTCCCATCATTTCATTATTTGAATGCTCAGACACCGGGGAGCGGTGCTGCATGAGAGGGAGTGGGCCTTGTGGCCTTGTGGAGTAGGTGTGGCCTTGGTGGAGGAAGTGTATCTTGGGAGGTGGGCTTTGTTTTTTAAAAGCCCAAGCCAGGCCCAGGGGCTCTCTCTTCCTGCTGCCTGTGGATCCAGACATAGAACTCTCAGCTGCTGTTCTAGCATTTGCCTATATGCTCCATGCTTCCTGCAATAATAATAATAATAACAATAATAATAATGGACTAAAACCTCTGAAACTGTAAGCAAGTCCCAGTTAAATGTTAAATGGTTTTCTTTATAAGAGTTGCTGTGGGCAGGGTGTCTCTTTACAGCAATAAACCACCAACTAAGACATTTAGTTTTATATGAAGTTTATTTAAAAAATTGAAACATGCATCCACAGCTCTGATAAAAGACCACCATGTCATAAATCTTGAATATAGATTATAGTAATAAATATCCTGGTGTGACCCATGCTAAGTTCTGGGAACAGATAAACATACAGTGTCGTCAAATCTGATTGCCGGTTCTCTTCTACTCATATGAAGATTCAATTCATATGTATTTTATCTCTCATTCTACACAGGAAGAAAAGTATGCAATGTAACAGGTTAGATAGTAAATCCAATGCCAAATAATCTGGGTCCATAGCCTGAGCTGGCCACCTCTTAAATGTATGAGCTTGGGTAAATTATATAAACTCTTCACATTCACAAATAAATATTATTTAAAATTGTCCAATGATATAATCTATGAAATATACACACACACACACACACACACACACATTTATATGACCCAGACCTAGGTACTTTGCTACAGCAATATAAAATGGGTTAATAGATAATACTTAATATATTGATTTGATATCTGAACTAATTTCCTCCACTTCAAGCTTTTGTTCAAATCTCACCATCTCTAACCATCTAACCACCCAACTTACTTTGTAATTGTGTTATGTTTATTACCTGTTTTACATAGGCAAGACTATCTATCTATCTATCTATCTATCTATCTATCTATCTATCTATCTAAATAGATATATCTATATAGTTAGAGACATATCTATATAAATACACAGAGAGACATATATGTATGTCTAGAAGAGTGCCTGGACCTTAGAAGTTCAGTAAGTTTATCAACTATTGGCTAAATGAATTAATTGGCATCTTTAATTGAAATAGTTCCAAAACTACCAAAACTTGTTTTATGTAATACAAAAATATAGATAAACCATACCTCCATAGATGGGCCATACCTCCATCTATGTTTTCATATTTTCTTGCTAAGTCAAGCTAGATTTTAATAATGGCCATTTATGTATGTGGATATATATGTACAGACATCTATATGTACATAATATGTATATAAATGCATACACATACACTATGTAGGAAGACTGTGCTTTTCCTCATGCAATAACTTAATTCTCTCAGCAGAGTACAATCTTTTTTCTTTTCTCTATTTTGAGGCAATGTTTATTTCTAAAGAAACAGAAGTTTCATCACATATTCCACAGAGCAAGAATGCCCTGGGGTGAAAGTCCAGAAAAAGCTCTTTTTCAAAACTCCCAGAGTCAATTTGAGTTTTGGACCAAAACCAATCCCACACTGAACCATTTGCCATGGTGCTCGAAAACAGATGAAAGCACTTTTGAGCTGCACCCAGAAAAAAAGCAGCTTTTATCTAAATTAAACCTGTGAACTACCGCTTAGCCCTGGAAGGGGACTTGATTCTCTTATTCACAGACATTCACTCAATTAACTTACTTCCTATTGTTTGACAGGCATTGAACTATGTCCTGGTTATATCTGATTAAAGGTCAAAGCTCCGTCCTTTAAGAGTGTAAACTCAGGGTAGTAATAGACAAGGAAAAGGAAAAATTACAACGTAATGCACTTGTCTGACCACAGGATACTGAAGGAACTCAATAGGTTAGCAAATATTCAGTCTAAGTAATCCTGACTGCCACCAAATTCACCTATGAACAAACCAGGTTTTCAGGACTGGACTAACCCTTTTTGAGGTGGCAATAGCTTCTGGAGCCTTCCTTGAAATGTCTTCTTGGTTTGGTTAAGTTTTCTTTGACCTAAGTTTTTGGCTTCTCAAGATAGCTAGCTCCTGAACTGTGTAAACTGATCCTTCCAGTGGTATAACACTGGAGACCTACCTATTTTTTAGTAGATAGTTCCACGTGCCCACAGGAGTGGCCCTGGTTAAGCTCAATGGGTCACAAAGTACAAAGAAAAACAAAATAAAAGGACATGAAAGGAGGTGGAGGAACAGAGCTGGTAAGGATGGGAAAAGGATATGAAAGGGTGGGGAGATAGGTGTGGCCATAATATGATTTATATTCATATATGTGTATATGTGTCTATGTATATATATATATATATATATATATGTGTGTATGTATAGATGTATAATGTTATATATACATATGCACAAAAACTGTTAAAGAATAAATTAATTTTTAAAATGTAAGTCAGGAAATCATTCCATTTTTCTTACCCTGGGGTTACTCTACAAACCTTTTCTGGGTCCTGCGTTGTTACTACAGCATCCTAAGTAATTTGTTCTCCTAATTCTAACATGAACTTCTGAGTTAGAATCATAACCGACATTTCATCTGTTTCCTGTTGACTCTCCTGCTATGATGAATTGTTTGCATTAGCCTATAAATATTCCCAAGCATCCTAGATGCAAACATCCATAGTCTTTTCCTGTTGTCTATTAATTTTAGTAGCCTGTACCCTCGGTTACGTTGTCTACCTTACCATCAGTTGGAGCTGTTCCATCTCTGAAATCTTGACCTCTACTGTCTGAGCACGGTCTTCCTAAAAATGAGTAACTCTTAAGTGTATCAAAGACTGAGAGCAGCTAGATGCCACTTACTCTCCAGCCTCCTTTGTTCTCATTTCCTTCTCCAGGCAGCTTAGAAACGAGAGACCCACCCTTTCTCTCTTGGTCGTCAGTTCCATTCCTTTTCATTCTTTACCATGTCTATAGGGCAAAATCCCAATACTGTGTCACTCCAACTGCTCATCTTCTCTGCCTTTGTTCTACGCTGATAAAGAACCACAAATGTCTGTAGGTGTATAGCCACTGTTCTTTTAAGATCTGCAACCTCAACCTTATTCTTCTCACATTCCGTCAACAATACAAGTGCAAAGCGTTTGTTAACAAAAACAGAAGTCTACAACCCTCCAAACTGAAACTGGACCATCACACATGGTAGAAAAGAAGTCTATCATTGAGGCCTAACCCCTGTTATATTATGTCCTTTACACTCCTTGAGGTATTCTTATCCACTGACAATGGTCACTAGCATGACCAACCCAAAGACTGATAGTTTACTAAATTTAAGTGTCTCATGCTATATCTAAACTCTAAATCATCGTATCTCACTGATAAGTCTTTTGATTGCATGTTTGACCAACAGCCACATGCAATTTATTTTATAGTATTCTCCATCGTACATTCAAGCCCTTCTCTTTAATTGAATGGCACCGTTTTTCATTTTTCTAGTCACTGAAACCCAGCTTTCTAAAGTAATCTTACTAATGTAATAATTCATACCTTCTCATTTGTTTGTTTTTGTTTTGTTGTTGTTTGGTTTAGACCAGGAAGGCCTTGAATTCAGAGAGATCCACCTGCTTCTGCTTCTCTAGTGCTTTAAAGGTGTGTGAGCCACCTTGCATTACCTATTTGATTATTATTTGATTATTAAGTTCCTCTTGAGTCTGTTTCTTTCTTAATAGTTTCTTTCTTACTCTCTTTCTATTCCTTCTGATCCCATATTCTCTCTCTTTCTTTCTCTTTCTCTCTCATTTTGGTTTTGACGGTTTGGTTTTGTTTTATTTTTAATGGGCTTTAAACTTCAAATGCTCTTGCCTCAGACACCCAAGTTCTGGAATTACAAGTACACCAACATGCTAGGCTCTGACCTCATTATTCCTTGCTGAGAATGTTATAACAGCCTTTTAACCAAACTCTGTTCATTCTCTAATCTACCCTTCACCCCAACAACAACAAAATGATGATTACAAACTAGAGTCCTACACCAGTTCTCTTCTCAGAAACTTCAGCAAGCCTACATTGCTCGGAGAGTGGAAGCCATACACAGTAACGTACTATTCAAATCCCAAATGGTACAAATTCTTTTGTTTGCAAGGAACAAAAATCTATCTGTGGTGAACTCGGAAAAGAGGGCGTTTTTATTTGGAAGATGCTGGAGAAATTCACGGGCTTGAAGGAAGAACTAAACAACCAAGTGCCAAGAACCTGAATCAAGAATGAGACGGAAATAGCAGCAGCAGAAACTTGAAGATCTTGACAGGCTCCTCCAGCTATAGTGTGCTGATTGTGCACTGTCTGGTGTGTGTGTGTGGGGCGCTCTTCTCTCTGTGGGGTACTTGTTACTATGACTCAGCCAAAAAGACTCTCAGAGTCTGCATCCCTCACTTACACTTTCAAATTTCCCCCCAAAATATATTTATTGACCCAAACTGACCAAATGGTTAATCTCTAGATACATCTGGATACATATGGGCATGGCACATATGTGGTCATAAGGAACTCTGCCTGTTGTGTGTAGGCCTTCTATGGCAACTGGGCATCACTGTGGGCAGACTGCATGTCTAAGAGAGCCTTCTGTGCTCTGCATTTTCTACCTTTGAGCTTTCTTTCTCCATCGATCCTTGAGTTGTGTTTTATTTTTCATGGAATGAATGTTTGGGTCTTCCCTGAATTCATATGCCGAAGGCCTAAACCTCGGTGTGATTGTATTTGGAGATCATTCAAGGTAATTATGGTGAAATGAGGTCATAAGGGTGGAGGAATTTGATGTGATGAGTGGCCTTATAAGAAATTAATTCCCCCACATGCCAGGCATATCACGTAAGGATGCAATAAGAAAACAGCTGTCTGGAAGCCAGAAAAAGAGCCCTTACCCAAACCCACCATGTTGGAGTCCTAACATAGGACTCTGGGCCTACAAAACTGTAAAGATGTACATTTCTGTAGTTTCATCAACTTCTGTGGTCTTTAGTTATGGCGGCCAGAGGTGACTAAGGCAGTGTATTTCTCCCCACCATTATGTCCTCCCCCTTCCGTCATCTCAGCATCATCTGAAAGATTCCTTCCTCAGGACACCCCTCCCTGACACCCTAGGTTACCCTCATGTTCTTTATTCACACAGCTGTACCTTCCTGAGTTTAATTATGTCATAGTCCTTATTCTTTTTTTGTAATGTTCCATTAACGATATGTCTCTCCCACCAGCTTGTGAGATCTTCTCAGTACAAGTGTGTGTGTGTGTGTGTGTGTGTGTGTGTGTGTGTGTGTGTGTGTGT